GGACGCGGTCGTGCACGCGCAAAAGGTACGTACGTAAATAGCGGGCACGCCTGGTCTCTCGCCGGGCAAGAAAAATATAACAACGAAGCGAAAGTCTATTAGGATTTTCATTTCCTGAATAAATAAAACTCGTCGAATCGTTTAATACCACGGAGAGGAGTTGGCCGGCACGTGCACGCGATAATCCCAGCTTCTCGTCCGAGAATACCGATCGAGTATTTTCGCGCGTGCACGTGGAATCCAACGCGGGTGTTTCGTCAAGTTCCTACACCCTCTTCCTACGCCCACTTCACCCTTTCGTATCTGTCACGTACGTGCACGGAGAGAGGCCGCCTCCCCCTCCCTCCCTCTCTTCCCTCTACCTTGTCTGGTGTCTGGTGAGAAGCGGCGGCGTACAATGCCGATCAATGGAGAATTTACGATTGGCAGCGTTAACCGGAACGTTAAAGCGTCGAGTTTGTTGAAAAATACCCATGCGCATCCCGCCCCCTTGTGTACCGACCAAAGAAGCATTCGATCGTTGGAACGAAACCCCATCGTTTGTTTGTCGAACGAGCCGCGCGACTCCCTCCTCCTTCCCCCCCTCGTATCCTCGATGCGTGTCCCGCGCCACTATTTCATCATATATACCACCCCCAATTCTCTATTTGCACTTTTACCTACTCGTATTCATCCGCGATTGTCTTCGTTTCACCGATCACCTGTCACCCACGTTCGAAACAATCTCTACGCCCGGTATCGGTAAATCGTGTCGAAAGAGAAAAAAAGAATCTAACGGCTAACCCTGACGATAATTCGGATCGATCTCGTTATTAACGATTCGACGGGATGTAACAGGGGATAGGGGATAGGAAGGGGGACGTTTCGTTCGGTCGATCAAACGGGATAGGGATCGGTTGCGAAAAAGGGGGGCAATTTCGCATCGTGTTACGCGCCACGGGATTTCTGTTCGTGTAAATCGCGGATGAAATCGAAGGAAGGAAGGATCGGTTTTGAAGGACAGGTGGGTAGGAAGGAGCGAAAGGGGGAACGAAGACCGGATGGGTTTTTGAACAAGTCGAGGGAAAAAAAAAAAAAAAAAAAAGGAAAAGAGAAGGGGGAGGGGGAGGGAAGTATAGAATTAAAAAGAATATCTCTCTCGCTCTCCGCGAGTCGCGATGCCGAGTTGTAGAGAGTAACATGCAGGTCCTTCTCATCCCTTGGCCGGAATAAATGCGTACATCCCTCCATCCTCCCTTGTAATAATCCCTTCCGGTTAATCTGCTCCAATGTAGCCTGCAGCGGGAGTCGGTATCCGATGAACAGGAGCGCGTGCACGCTCTTCTATCATCGAGCTCTGCGCGTCGACGAAAGCGCCGGTTTCCTCTGGTACACACTTCACTGGTTTCGGGAGGGGAGGGGGTGGAGATGTACGAGGGGGAGGGTGCCGACAGACCCCCTTGTTCTTTCGCGAAAAACGAATAAATAAATATATATATATATATATACATACTCGCGATCACCCCCATGATTCAGGATTCGTTGTATGGTGGTGCATGGCCGAAAAAGAGATATATATATATATATATATACACGTCGGACGTTTCCAATGGGAAGAGAAAGAAAGAAAGAGGAAGAAAATTGAAAAAGAACGACAAGTAATCCTTGATATTCTCTCTTTCTCTCTTTCTCTCTCCCTCTTTGTCTCCCTGTTCCCATCTAGGGTGAAAGAGCGTAGATGTTGTAAATTATAAGTTTAGTTTGCGTTGCCTTGAACGCGTACGCGTACGTGTATCGGTGAGAAGCGTGGCGGAGCCGGGAAAGCGAACAGGTATTTTTTTCTTACGAATATATGTGGTCCCCTTCGTGCAAGCACGGAGCGCTTTTTAATCGGATCGCTTTCAACCGTTGCTGGTGGCCGAGTGCTTTCTCCGAGATTATTTAATTGGCCGGCGTATCGTTTGTTTCGCGATAAATAGATGAAATTTTTTTGAAAGGGAGGGAATACTTGTATAGGAAAGATACTCGTGTATTTTAGAACTTTTCCTTGTTTCGTAGAAAAAAAGTACGAGGATCGTTGTGTAACGATTCGTGTGAAGAACGCGTCTGAAAACGTACGAGAAAAAAAAAAAAATAAAAAATAAAAAAGAGGAGAGGAGATTTGGTGATTTCAAAGCGGGATCGTGGGAGGGATCTTGGAAATCGACGTAACAACGAAACGATCCTTCCGTTTCCGGTGTAACGAACTCTCTCGTTCCTCGAGAACCCTCATCCTTGCGAAGCGAGGAACGTGCAAAATAAATCCGGACAACGCGTATTCGTGCATGTTCCTCAAAAATAGCGATCCTCTCTCTCTTGAAGTTGGACGAAAAAATGGGGGAGGGGGCGTGGGTGCAAGAACGGGGGCAAAAAGGAAGGACAGACGGGGCTTCGTAGTTTCGCCTAGTATCCGAGCGCAAATATAGACTCGTGCAAACAGGTTATGCTCGAAATTATAACGAGTGTCTCGCCCTTCCTTCCTCCCTCTCTCCTCCCCCTCTTTTTTCCCCCCAAACTCACCCTCTTTCTCACTATGTCATGACAAAAATGTACCCCGTATATCTATAAACAAACGTATCTAGTACCTTCGCCCACACTCGGTTTTCGGATGGAGGGATAGGGGGGAGGTAACACGATCTCTCCGCCGCCTGCTCCCGTCCCAGAGTA